TCCACTAAAGTCCTCATAGAAGCGTTGTCTTGGTCATTCAACGCAACTCCAAGAAAACTGAAGTTTTCTTCAAGATATTGGATTTCCTTCGTTCCTGGGATTGGTATTATGCCATCATCCTGGGCGAGTAACCAGACCAGAGTCAGTGAACCCTTTGCGGTCGGCCATGTCTTGAAAATGTTGTGCGGGCTCAGAATTCTTCTGGGAATTCTCTGCGGGCTTAGAGCTAGGATTGAAGCGCTTATAGTCTCCCGCATCAAAGTCTTCTATCGGCTAGTACCTGCCAGTCATGATGCCGCTACCAAGTGAGGAGTACGCAAAAACAGAAAACCTTAGCTTTTGTGCAATACGTAAGAGACGGGTATCTGCTTCATTATCAATGCCGAGAGCCCAGCGAGTGTGTTCCCCTTCAATGGCTGAGATTAGGTGGACAGCGCGAGTGCGGCGCAGGGTCTTGGATGTGCATTATGACATACCCGAATGTTAAATCTTGCCTTCACTGTAATTCGAGTCGATGAGTGTTCCGCTCCATTTTTCACATTCCAAAACCTTCTTCAACTGAACCGTCTCTACAATCGTTTTATCGACAGGTGTCTTGCTATTAAGCCGATAGATATGGTATAGGTTGAAGGATCCAACCCCTAACCTTTGCAGGTTTCGTTGGCACGCCTTTCGAGCGTACTCGAGTAACGAATCAATCCCTCGCGTAACTTGACAATTGTCGCCTCGAATCACCTTGCCCGCAAACTTGGAGATAAGGAAGATGCCGTATCTCATTTCGTGGTGGAGTTTGAACCACCTTCCTATCAAGTCCTCGATGTCGCCGCCCGCGTCGGCAGTATCATAATTCCTAGCACTAACCTCCCATGCCCGATCCAGGACCTTGAGGCACTTCTCATCAGGTATATGACTAAGGTAGTTACAACACGCGCTAAAGTAGGTGGACACGCGAAGTTGCATTTCCATCTTGACTGTAAGCCATACTGAGGCCCACCATGCCCAAGCCCGACGCCTTTACGTCAGGCCCACTTTGTCCTGACTGGCAGGTTAGTGCGAAGGAAAGACTAGCCATAGTAACCTGGAAAGCTGGTGCAGCGGAAGGGAAAACAATGGGACCAGGATAATACGATGCAAGGTGCAAACTGATCTGTAAGGAACGAGAGGCAGGTTCCATGTCGTTTGAGATATTATTGCGCTGATACTCCCCGAGTCGCATGAAAATTCCCTCTTCGTGTTGTTAATCGTGGCCACGAAACAGCAGCGCATTATCTCCGGCAAACATCGTTCAACTAGTTGAGTCCGTGCAACCCCACTCCGAACTCGAATAAGGCTCGGTAACATCTTAAGATAACCAGATTTAGGCTGAACAGTGCAGATGTGCAACGGGATCTAATACCGTAGCTCCAATGCGTATCAAGTTTAAGACGTGTAATATGATTTTGCCTCTTGGCAGAGATTATCAGTCAACTTCGCCGTAAAGGTTATCCAGGCTTATATCACCGGGCTTCAGTGGAAGTCACCCCCAGAAAGAGGAGTGGAACGAATGCATCCAATTTCGACACTACTTTATCCTATCGTGTACTGAAAGTAGTTTTCCAGCCCTGGGAGTGAGATGAGCTCAGCGAACGTAGAGGGAACGAACTCTGGGACGAAGTTCGTTTCTCCCGCTTCCGACAATCCGAGGGCTGCGCTACTTCCTTGCGCCAACCCTGCCGCGTGTACAGTCTGATCGTCTCTAAGAGACTGTTCTGGGCCGATCTGTAGTGCAACCCAGTTGCAGAATTGGTCATAACCTGCACCGCCCAACGCAGGACTTTCGTCGTGGCTTGCGCCTAATTTGGTCAGCGCCAGCTCTAAGATCTCCAAGCCCTGCTTCTCAGTGCTTTTAGTGTTCGCAAAGACGCCGCCTGACATGATTTTCAGTAGCGCAATGCCTTGGTCGCATATATCCTCAAGGTTTGTCGTTTTCTTGAGGATACGTTGAGCTATCAACGTTACTATTGCAGCACAGCAAGAAGTGAACTCAGTATACGAGGATTTCGAAAGCCCAAACTCATCGTCGAGCTTTTGACAGAGCTGAATGGATGATATGGCACTTATGATACACTGCTCTATAAGAGTCTCACGGGTCATCACCCATTCATGAACACAAAGCTCATCGGCACTAAAGTCGTCAAACATCAAGGAGCGTCCCATGAAGATATGTACCAGATGGTATGTCAGTGCAAGGTGTATGTTCGATCGAAAGTGCGGTTGGTCTGGTGTGAAGTCTCTGCAGAATGTCCGGGATGGGAGATTATCCCACCAGGTTTCCAACATATGGTGCACTTTGAGAGCATCATTGGCCACCTGCTTGAGCTTTGGCTTATTGGTTCTTTTTAGAGTCAAGCTGAAAAGGTCAGCATTACATCATCATCCGAATTGGGTACAGATAAGAACGAACATAGTGTCACGAGCAATTTCCATGATTTCGGTAAGGCCCTTTTGAGCCATAGCGTTATAGAACGTGTTGGATCTTCCGGATGGTTGTAGATCGAGGGAATCGATTGGGAGCTCGGTGCCTATCTGTGATCTCTGAATTGATGCTGGCCGGCCATGCAGTATAGAAACACGCCTAATGGATCGTTAGATGAGTCGTCCAAGTGGATAGAACTCAGCCTCTCACCCCCGTTTGGGTCGCCGCAGAAGATTGCGAAATGTCTTAAGGGAAGCTTTGCTCACCTTTCTAGGGTGTAAACTGTCCACCAAATGCGATTGCTCATCTCCGTGTGTCGTGTCTTGTGTGGGCTCTTGAGGTGCATATCATTGTGTATTGCTATCTTCATAGCCATACCATAATAGCTGCTAGCCAACCCTGCAGGGTCTAATGGGAGTGTGTAAACGCCCATCAAAATGAACGCCTGCACGCATTGTGCGCTCCCAATAGTTAATAGATCAGGTATCATGGACGTCGCTTTTCGATAGAACGATAATGCCAAAGCATCGTCCACTGCTGAAGTAATATCGAGTTGCCCCTTGCGCAACTGCCGTCCTTTCACCTGAGGTGCCAAGTGTGCGAACTGCGTACCGACACAAAATACCATGAGTACGGTACAAACCCATGGCACATCAGCTGTCGAGAGCGGTGCAGAGATACATGTATACATGTTAGATATTCGAGCCCGGATCTCAACTTCATCTACATAGAAGTAGTTTGTTTGGGAAACGTTGAAGAAGACGTCTAGTAATATGGCGGCAACATCGGCAGGCGGGAATGAGGAAACTGCGTCTTGTATGGCGAATGGCCATGGCAGCAATTGTTCAGCTGTGGCAAAATTGGCTGCCTGGTCCTGGACATATCAGCTAGAGACTTGAGAGATAGCGAGAGAGATTGGGACAGCTTAAGGTAAATGTACATTGTTAAGTGTTTCAAGGCCGGGCCCTAACTTTTGCTGGATCTGGCGAGTGAAATGCAAGTGAGAAAAGTCTTCATATGCTAGGTATGTGGCAATTAGGTAAAACAGTCCGGTCTAGTCCAAACAACGCTACATACCTGGTACGGCGGTCGAGTCGTATGACTCTTTGCCTATGAGGGTTTCTTCCGGTGCCTCTTGATCTTCTGGGCTTTCCAGATCATGTGATTGAGCAGAGCTCTCCTCGCCCGCCTTCAGAGCTCCTAAATACTGTGCAAGCTTTCCCCGGCACAAGTCTTTTATGCCCGTGAAGTGTTGAACAATAGCCTCCAGGTTACGAATCCTGTCAATGTCGAAGAACTCGTTCGGATCTATTGAAGTCGCTGGCTGCTGCGATGCGGGTCGTCGTCTTGATCGCCTATAGGCATTGGTGAAAAGGCATTTGCGCCTAGATTTAACACACCGGTCACAAGGGGTTCCACCGTTACACTTTTCCTTCAGGCGTCGGCAATCGTCGCATCTGTGAAGCGTATAAGCTCGAGCTGGCCTAACAAGAGTATTCGGTAACTGAATACAGACGCTGGCGTAGGCCTTCTCCTCGTCCTAGACGCAACAGGTAATTCGTTATGCGCGGACTGCGTTGATGTCGAAGATTGGCGATCTGGAACGACCGAGCCCGGCTCGATGGGTCCTGACATGGCGGACCGCGAAGTCAGTCAACGATATCGGCCAGATCGCGACATGGGATCCACGGTATCTGCATGCGAATGGCCATGGAGGAGGGAATTGGACACGGAGTTGTTGTTCCATTGATGTTGCCGATCTTCAGGCCGGAATTAAGGCGGAAAATGTCAGCCACGGGGAGGGGAAGCACTTGCGTTACCGGCGCGTGCCCACGTGCCGGTGTGCCGGTGTGCCGATCATTTGATAACAACAAGAAACTTGATGAATGAGTGATAAGCTCTTCATTGGTGGAGCATGTGTGGACCCGTCTTCAAGATGTTTGCTTTACCCCGGATGAAGATGACGACAATAATGATAAGTTCCGGCGCATCTGTCAATTCATTCATGTCATCCTCGCTCGGTGTTAATCACAGGTTTTTCAGGAACCCTCTCAACACTGGAGGGTAAGGGTTGTTTCCGGTATAAGGTTGGGAGGTCAGAGGGCAGCCGTTTGGCGAGGACTCGATTCGCCAATGAGGTATATGTCCGAGTCACTTGCTGAGTGTTGTGAGGCAGGGCGTCTCCTGATGAATAGTACCGAAGAATACCGAAAAAGAATTCCTATTGAAACTAGTAGGGTAGCAAAGCTTGCTCCACTGAGATGATAAGATATTAATGCTGCGTGGTTGACCCGGAATGAAGAATGTGCCGGGCAGATGCCGGCGTTGATGGATCCCCGATTTCGTAGTGGGGCAACACAGAGGGTGTGTTTTGAGGACCTATCGATTCATAAACCCCTACCACAAGCAGGCACAGCTTGGTTCCGTTCGAGCTTATTACTTATACAGCCACAACCTTAACCAAAAATGGGAGCTAGAGCAAGATACTACACGAGCCCCCTGTTCACCACCATCACCCAGCTTTCTCCTCAAGATATACCGCCCGATGTCTTCGTATAGTAAACACGTTGTGTTCGACATTGTCGGCACATGTGTGTCGTACGATGCCATGTTCAACGCCCTCGATCGACGGCTAGGCGATAAATTACGTGCTCAAGGCATCAAGCCTCAGCTACTAGGTTATCTCTGGATCGAAGTCACCGAGCGGGAGTATACCTACTTGAGTATGAATGGGCGATATGTCACATTCCGCGATGTCTTCAGCAGCATCTATTATCGAATGCTGTATATGGCTGGCGTGCAAGACCCTCATGAATTCTCTAATGACGAGGATCTGAACTACATTCTCCAGGAGTATATGAAGTTGGAAGCACGTCCTGGAATTGCCGAATGCTTTCAGATCTTGAGAGACAACGGGTTCACCGTCTGGGCCCTGACAGCCGGCGATGTGGAGCGCGTGGGAGGCTACTTCAAACACAACGGAATACATATGCCCGAAGAAAACTTCATCTCTTGCGATGGGTTGAAGATTGGCAAGCCCGATCCACGCGTGTATAAGCTCATGCTGGACCGTCTCGGTGATGATGAGAAATGGTTTGCGGCTGCACACAATTGGGATGTCAATGCAGCCCAGTTGGCAGGGTCAGTGATATTCCTAGCAAAATCAATCAAGTGCTCATAGTACTATTGTGCTAACTCATATCTAATCCACAGTTTCAAGGCAGCTTACTGCACCATTTGGGAGAAAGAGCTATGTGAAGGACTCTTTGGCAAAATGGATATTACGGCACATACATTTCCAGACATGGCGCGCCAGATTGTGACTGCATCTATGTAGTAGTGAACTGAGGACGAGAGATTTACTTGAAAGAAGCCCAATGAGTTTACTATATATGGTCTTGCTATTACACAAAAGAGAAATAAGAAGCGAACACTTGGAAGTCCTGTTTCGAGGTTCTCGAGCAGGGATTCAACAAGACGCGGCCCAAAATGCGAAAGTCTACCAATGTGACTTCTTGTCCGATTCTTGGCTTTCCTTAAGATAAAGTGCCATGTATAAAATGAGCGAGCAGCAAGTGCGGCATACTGACCGGCACGTCCAAATGCACCTCGGACCGGCTATGAAGAAAGATGAAGATTTTATCCGCCACTTTTCTACAGTCCGGGCTTATCTTGAAAACGTTGGGTAGACCCTGGACAGAGCGGATCCCCCGCACCCCGGGCTTATCTACTGCCATTGTTATCCTCCGCATCCCCCCAATTCGGAGACAGGTTTCCAATTTCTATAAACCTGCGTCACAGCTCCCAATCCTTACTCTTGAATAGATTGAATAGAGAAGCCAGCTTGAACAGCGTTCCATTTTTAATCTTTCATCAGAAGGCCACTTCAGTTTCAAAACTATCATCTCGGCATTAGTCACCCACATCCGCTCACTCTCGGGACTTTTCATTTGTCAGTTTGACTCTACAATGGACCAAACAATGCCAAAGGATTTGGTCCCCAAGTCTCAAGATCTCGCGTCCAATTACAGCATCAAAACTGGCCACGCTGTTGCCAACGAGCTTACCTTAAAGGATCCGGAAATTGTTACAGCGCTACAATGTTATGTCCCAGGAACCGCAGAGGAAAAACGACTGGTTAGAAAGGCAGACATGGTCTTGCTGCCACTTCTGTGGTGGATGTACATTCTGGCATACCTTGACCGAGGCAATATTGTACGTTGTAATTGATCTCCCATGCAAACTTGTTTGTGGATTTTCAGATAACTGACCTGCCCAGGCCAACGCTAACGCCGCCGGGCTGAGCGAGGACCTCGGACTCAGTGACAGCCGTTAGTTATACACCTTACGATTCGCAACTGACATCACAAGACCTGACTAAGACTTTTATTGTGTTTTCCAGAATACTCACTCCTCGTTTCTCTTTTCTTCGTTGCCTATGTTCTGTTCGAGGTACCTTCAACATGCTACTAATGAAGATCAAGCCTTCAATCTACCTACCTACGATTTGTGTCGTGTGGGGCAGCGTTATTATTGGGATGTCTCAGAGTAGAGGGGCATCTGAGTTTCTCGCAGGCCGATTCTTTCTGGGCGCCATCGAAGCTGGTTTGTTTCCTGGTACACTTTTCCTTCTTACTTGCTGGTACACGAAGAAAGAAGTTGGTAAGTATTCCGAGAATGAATCCGCCGTAACTATGCTGTTTTTCATATAACTCATACGTTCGGATTCTGCCTAGGCAAACGCTTCTGCATCTTCTACACATCAGGTTGTGTTGCACCTGCCCTTGGTGGAATAATGGCTGGAGCGGTCATATCGCGACTAGAGGGTGCCCGCGGCATCGCAGGCTGGCGATGGCTTCTCCTGATCGAAGGCGTGGTGACGGTCGCATGCGGCTTCGGCCTGTATTTTGTGCTTCCCGACTATCCCAGGAACTCCAAATTGCTGACCCCCGAACAACGGCTCCTTGGACATGTCCGAATTCTTCACGACCAAAGGTCATCTACACAAGTCGAAGAAAGCGGCCTGACACCAATCCAGGCCTTTGCAGCAGTCCTGAGAGACAGCAGAACTTGGCTCTTTCTAGTTCTCTACGCCTGCAATATTCTGGGTTTGACAATATCATACTTCATTCCCACAATGCTCAAGGGACTGGGGTATACCAGTATCACCGCCCAGTGGATGACAGTTCCAATTTGGGCGTGCGGCGCTGTTTTCCAGCTATTTTGGTCATGGACGTCGGACAGGTATCAAGACCGCAGATGGCACATTACTGGTTTGCTTTCCGTCTCTGCATTGTCATGCCTTGTCGCTATCGTCGTTCGTAACAACATTGTCAAGTACGTCATGATGTGCTTCCTTATTGGCGGCATGTTCACAACTGTGCCACTGATCCTGAACTGGACGAGCGAGGTCATGGCTGAGCCAGAACGGAAGCGATCCATTGCCATCGCGTTTGTTAATTCCTTTGGCCATACTAGTTATATCTACGGGAGTTATTTATGGCCTGCGTCGGAAGCCCCGCGGAATCTCAAAGGATTTGCAGCCTCTAACGCTGTTCTTGGTACTGCGGCTGTGCTTGCTGCAGTGCTTCCTATTGTCTTCAAGTACATGCGCACGTATAATACTCATCCAGTTAGATAAGGAGTAAAGCTAGGGCTTAAGAGATAGCGACAATAAATCTCTTTAATCTATACTTTAAAGACTTGGGGTTAATTAAACCTAAATAATACCTAAGTATATTATACTAATATGTCTTAGTATTCTTTAAAGTAATAGATAATTAGATAAAGAGGCTAGTATGTTAAACTCGAGCGAAGGACTTAGCTTATTAAAATAGGAGGGTTAGGGTTAGGGTTAGGGTTAGGGTTAGGGTTAGGGTTAGGGTTAGGGTTAGGGTTAGGGTTAGGGTTAGGG